CTGCTAGGCATTATTCTCAGAGTAACAATAAACTGGGGAGCAGACAGACAAGGTCCATCATCACGTGTACATTCTGGTGGATCCCACCTTTGAACAGAAATGACTAGAAAAACCTCTGACTAGAAACTTACTCAACCAGATACCAATATCGTACATCTTTAAGTTGAAGGACTTATGTTTTCTAATGTACTTTTCCATTTTGATTTTCCAATATAAATGGGCACTGTCAAACAATAATAGGAAATAAATAGGAAACTGGCCATAAACAAGAAAAATGCTATTAAAAATCTGAGATTTAGGATTGTTGAAAGGTTTCTTTTTCTCTTAAATAAACCCAAATCAATTTTCAGGTCCATCCTTCTACTCAAAGGTATATTTGAAGAACTGGTACATTATCTTATAATAATAAAAGCAGGAATATTAATGATCTGGCAATTTTATTGGTGTTTTTAAGATATAGTTGTAATAAGAAAAATTTTAATTTATAAAAGACATTGATAAAATAGCAAGCAAATAATTTTTCAATAATATATGTGGTAGGAAGGGGTTAGTTTGCATAGAATATAAGCTTAGTATATAATTGACATGACCTTTGCTCCCATCCCACTTCCTTAGCCTTCCACAATATGGCTCCAACATGACTTTCTAGTCTTATTTTCTGGTAGGCACCTAACAACTATTGTTCTCCAGGAAATCTGACTGAAAAAATTATAAATATAATTTAAATTATACATATATAATATAAACAAATAAAACTAATTTGTTGAAAGCAATTTGGAAATTGGCCTAAAGCTACTGAGAGAATGGTGGCAAATATGACTTTGATTGAAATGCCAAGTTTATCAAAACTGTAATTTCCTAATCACTAATTTTGTTGTTGTAAGTTTTATTTTAGTATTGGTATAAGAGCGCATCGTAAGGTAGCTTTGCAACCCTTTATCTTTGGCAAATATTTTGTGTTTACCTTTTTGTTTAAAAAATTTAAACTTAAAACTTCTTTTATGTTTTATGTTTCCTATTTATTTGCAGCCAATAATCTCGTGATGCATTGTTCATTATGTAAAAATTGAAAACAATCTAAATATTCAACAGTGAAGGATTTTCAGAGCTAAATATCCTTCATCTTTGTGTAGGGAGATGAAGAAGTCAAGAAAACTAATAGAGATTATTCTGTAAAGGAGAACAGCTGCAAAGGTAGAGATAGGTAGTAGCTGTAAGAGGAAGGTCTAGCAAGTACTTTTTTAAATAAGTAAATATGTAGTAGAAATGGCCAAAAGGTGGAAAAACAAAACTAAATATAACAATTATTTAAAAATTCATCATGTTAATTATGTAAGGAAATAAAAAGCTTTGGTGGACTGGGTAGAACCTCTTCTCTCTCTTTTTTACTTCAATTATTTAAAAACATCACCACTAGTCTCTCTTTTTCTCACTTGCTCTCTCTCCCCTCCCCTCCCCTCCTTTGCAGCAACCCACTGCTATCTTTGTCGTCACTTGGTTCAGTATTCCTGGAATATGTAACTGCATGACAGGATGAAGAGCAACAACTAAATACTATTTAGCATTGATGGTTCAGGACCGTGGACAGCACTCATGTTGGGAATGGGGCTTGCTGAAATTGCAGTGACTTTGTAAGTTTGGTCTATCACAGAATAAATTTGTTGGCGTGGCTACAAATGGATAAGGTGCTCACCAGAATATTAAAACTCATGGCTGAATTAATTTTTTTTCTTCCCTTCATGGAGGGAAGGAAAAAAAAACATTAACGCAAAGAAAGGCTGGCACATAATAGCACTCAAATACCTTAACTGAAATGAACTTTTCACCTTAATGATAAAGAGTGGCTCAACATGTAGGTGTATTTGATGGCTGTTTTAAAGTGATCATTCCAAATCAATAACAGAAAAGGAAATTTGTGTATTTTTTTTTTTTACTGTGCTTTCCATGGTGTCAATGAAAATAAGGTTGTTAAAAGTTGAACTAAAAAATGAGAACTAAGTTGAGATTCAGTCACTAACACAGGATAATGCAAATTCGTTTTAGATGTAAAATTAAAAACATCATTATTTTCATGACAAAATTTTAAAATCCTTTCATGACTTTGTCCAACAATTTAAATGACCCCATCATCCATCCTCTGACACAAGTAACTTAAGTGAAAGGTTACTTGAAACTTCACCAATGGAAGCCTGAAAATTTAACGATATACCTTTCTGGCAGCATTCTTTCATCTTTGTCACCTTGATACAGTTCCTAAACAGAAAACAAACGAATGCTACTCAAATCTACATGTTTACATAAACTCACATTTCATGTGTCATCTGTTCTGAAGAGTCTTTTTCTAAAATTAGTCCCTACAGGTCTTGAAGTGTGTGACTCTCATTTTGACACACAATCATACAATGGCTCCAACTTTTGCTGCCTGACTCATATGTCCTCTGAAAGACAAACATTGAGAGCTATTTGAAGTAGTTCACTTACTTTTCTGTTACACTTCATTACACCTAAAAGGGCTGCCACACAAATATTGAACACTTACAAATCATCGTTTTTCTGGAATACAAGAGTGTATCTCTTTGCTTCTTGGCACATGTATCTCTGGAGTATGACAGTACAATCAGTGAACTCATCCTTTAAATTGATGAGATGTTATTATCATTCCTCTTAGTTTTACCTCAACTGGGAAATGTTCACATAACCATTTAGATGTGTTGCCTTAGATCAGCATTTATCCAACTTTTTCCCCAAGGCATCCACCTCTGCTGGCAAAAGTGCAGGAAGCAGGATCTAGGAACATTATTCCAAGTTGTAGATGGCAAATAGAACATTTCTTTGAACTCTCATGCTTTACTTTAAAATACATTAGAATTAATTTTGTACTCTATTCTATAATTCATTCATTCAACAAATATTAGGGGCCTACTGCATGCCAGGCATTATTACAGGGATACAGTAGTGAATAAATATATTTGTGTTTGTTTTTAACCTAGTAATATTTTAATACAACTGGTACAAATAGAAAAACAAAAACTTTGCCAAAGCAAAGAGCAAAACTGATAATCCAAGATGGAACAATTATTGCTTCAAATACTACTAGTCATGCTATTGCAACCTGAGAGTATATTTGCACCCATTTGAGCAGCATAGTCTTGGGCTAATTCCCAGAATACAAAGCCAATGGTAAATATTTACTCTAGATGAAAATATCTGCGTTATTAGAACTAACGAGGTTGTCTTCATTTTACCATTAGATTCTGCCTTTAGGTTCTGAAATGGCAAAGGTAGACATCCACTTTAATACCTGGAGAAATATATAAAGCTAATTCTTAAAAATCACATGAAGGGGATGGGGCGTGGGGTATCATTCTTGACACTTCAAAGTTAAGTCTTGATTTCAGCACCACATTGCTAACAATTGCTCTTTTTTTTTTTTTTTTTAACCTTAATTGAGCAGCTTCTTCCAGGTTCTTATGTATCTGCTGATCAGCTTCAAAAATATGGGAAAAGCAAAATCTTACATAGGACAAACTTTTGGATTTCTCCCTGCATCGAAATGCTGAACATTCCTGTTGTTATTCCATTCTATTGGTCTGGGATCAAGGTTGACGTGAAGATTCCTTGAAAAGTATTAAACTCCTCAATGGTAATTTTATCTTAAATCATTTGCTTTTTGATTATAAGGTCTAACTCCAATAACAAATGATTAATATTGCTGTCTGTGGGTATGTGGCATATGTATTTTTTACTGGAGGCAGCTCTTTATAATAGCTTTATAAATTTAAAATAGCACAAGTGATTTCCTGTTGGGGTTAAGAGTCAGTCCTCCAAAACTGTAGTGACTGAATAACTTGCACGAAGCCTGGCTTTCCTACCTGGAGCCACCAAGTCAATCATCCGAAATTACTACAAAGAACTCTATGTGCATAGATGTTAATGTGTTTCTCTTGCAGACGATGTACGACCACCAAAATTCAAACTCCTTCAGACTGGTTAATTAGAGAAAAGGTAAAGAAAATACCAAAATATATAGACTTCACAACTACAGGACAGTGGTTCTTAATCCAGATTGTGTATCAGAATCATCTGTAGAACTAGTATGAGATTTTGCTGTTTTAAAATTCAGATTGGGGATCAGTGTTCGTAAATCTAACCTGAGAGGGGCCTAGGAATGCATACCTTTTAGAAACTCCACAAATGATTCTAATTTAAATACTCTAAGACTGCTACGGTTTGGATATTTGTCCTCTCCAAATCCCACATTGAAATTTGATCCCCAGTGTGGTGGTGTTGGGAGATGCGGGCTAGTGGGGTGTTTGGGTTATGGCAGGTAGAACCCTCATAAATAGACTAATGCCTTCCTGTGGGGAGCAGAGGTAAGGGAGTTCTCACTTTACTAGTTCCCACCAAAGCTACTTGTAAAAAAAACCAAAAAACAAAAAAAACCCTGGCACTTCCACCCTCACTCTCTGGCCATGTGATGTCTACACACATAGTGCCCCTTCCCCTTCTACCATGAGTGGAAGCAGCCTGAGGCTCTCACCAGGTGCAGATACCCAATCTTGAACTTCCTGGCCATCCAGAATTGTGAGCCAAATAAATCCTTTTCTTTATAAATTACCCAGCCTCAGATATTCCTTTATGGCAATACAAAATGGACCAAAACGAAGGCTAACCTTCATTTTATTCCTGATCATAATATGGGCCTCCTGGTTTTGTGAAGACTTAAATTTAGTGTGCCTGGAGGCTAGAATCTAGATGGTTTAATGTGCTAGTCACCTCAGTTTTCTCACACTTCATATAAAAGACAATGCTTGAAATCCAGAAGTAGCCACAGTCTCCAGCACAGAAATTCCAAGTTACTCCAATTTCCTGTGTATAAACTCGCTCATGTGCACAGCACCAGCCTACCTTCAAGTCTTGGTGTTATAGGCAGGTTCTCTCTCAATATTAGGTGATTTTAAATACGTAACCTTGTGCTCACCAGTAAGAAGCCTTGAACATTTTATATTTGAAATTTTAAGGTCAGTTTATTAAGTTCAATGATGAAAGCTATCAGAAGAATATTCTCCTGAAAATAATTTTTTCTTAGAAAAAAAGAAAGGAAAACAAAACCCTCTGAGCATAGCCACAGATGCTGTGGCAGTCAAGCCTCTCTGCAGATGGGGACAGTTCATTAGTCAGCTGAGTCACTCTCTGGGTCAGCAGGATTATAGTCTGGATCATCTTCATCATCCTCCAGCTCCAAGTCATCCATTTCTTGGAACAAAGACTCATCTACCTCCACGTTGTTTCCAGCTGGAAAAAAAAAATCACCTTTAGTCTTATACTCAGAAATAAAAGATACAACTCATTGGCACTACCAAACCGAAATCTCTAAATATGCATGTGAGGTAGGAGTGATGAAATCCCAAACTATAATTACTACATATCATACCAAAAGTGATTTGTATTGGTCAGTAGAGACTCTGAAATTTTAAGAGCAACTTCATGTTTCCAGTTCATAATCTAAAAATCCAGTTATTAAAAAAAAGCTTACTAGAATTTATAATGTAGCATGTTATAAGTTGAAGACAAGGATGATATGTTCTCATGGTTATAGAAAATTATCACTGACCATGGGACCTGTATGAGGAGTTATGTGTTCCAGTAGTGGCAGATAAGCATTGTTAAAGCTCAGCCATACTTGTTAATTAATTGATTTGATTTGATCTTCATTCTCACCCAGTTCCCCTTTTAACCAATGGTATGCCTTCAGTTACAATGTCTAAAGCCTATAGGAAACAATACCCAGGCTCTGCATTAAACATCTTCACTCTTCAGTGTGTCTGAAGTAGATAATACAATTAAGTCCTGGCCAAAGAATAACCGGCTCTGTCTAGGAGACATAGCAAAGGCATCATGGAGTAAATGAAGTCTGAAATATCTTCATGATAAATTTGAATGCACCAAGAAGAAAAGGAGCCAGGAGGAAGCAATTTTAGGTAGAAGTATATGCAAAGGGAGAGAGAAAATATAAGACCTTGAATAATTCTAACTGGAAGATGAAATTCCTGAGAAAAAACACCTGAAAGTAACATAGATGAAGGCCAGACTGAGAAAGACTGTGTAGGTCATTCTCTCCCTATAAGCAGTGGAAACCATCAAAGGATTTTAAGGAGAGAAATTTTATGATTAAATGTGGGTCTTAGAAATACCATCTCACAGGGAGTGACTATAGAATAGATAATGGCACTAGAAGGAGGAAGAGATTTAGGGAAATAATTTAAGAAGCTACCACAAAAATCCAGGTGAAAATGACAAAACATTTAAATCAGAAAAGGAAAAGGTATCAAAAACTTTAAAATGTTGCCTGTCAGTAAAGGGCTAGCTTAGATTAGAAAGCATTTAGCAGTAAGCTGTATCAATACTGCCTCTTAACTTTCTTCAGCAGGTAATTCAGAACAAGGCTGAAAGGCCAGAAGCTAAAGGATTCCCAACTGGCAAGACAGACACAACAAAAGGTTAACGAAGTACAGAACTCTAGAGTGCTATCAGAGGTGTGACTGAGTATGGAGCCCAGTTTAAGAAAACACATGTAGGCCATAAGCTCCCAAGGGGAGAGAACTGGCCCATACTGTACTCTGCTGTATCCTCAGTGGCCAGGACAGTGCAATAAATATTTCTGAATGAATGGATGATGGATAGATGGAAGAGAAGAGGATAGGTGGTAGGATAAAAGCACAAGGGACTAGATGCTCCAAATACATTAAGAGTCATATGAAAGGCTGGTGAGAGGGAATGCTAGACGTTAAACATCAGGTTTTTACAAGCTCCATGACAGACCATGGAATAGTTTTCACAGATCTGTGATACTAGAAATTTGAAGAAAACAGGTCACCTGAGTCACAATAACCTGGTTTACTAGTTGTGAGGATAGTGTGATCATCATTGTTTATCTATTTCTATCTTTGATATTGCTTAAGTTATCAAAAAATTTAAAATATATGTTGCTATAGAATTACAACATTCATTTCAAATGTATAAATTGGTCAACCACTAGAATTTATTCTCCAAAATGTATTTTTTAACAGCCTTGGGAGGAAAAATGTACAATAAATAAAGTTCAGTTTGATTTTCATGGTTCAAAATTAAAGAGACTACATTATATATATGTGGAATTATTATTATTATTTTTTTAATAGTCAGGGTTTCACTATGTTGCCCAGTCTGGTCTCAAACTCCTGGGCTCAAGCAATCCTCCTGCCTTGGCTCTCCAAAATGCTGGGATTACAGGTTTGAGCTACTGTGCTCATCCTACATGTGGAATTCTAATATTGTCTTACCATCCTCCAAGAACTGGATATCAGATGTGTCAAGATTATGATCCGTTTCAAATAGTTGTTTCCCTTAAAAAAAAAAGTATGTTTAATTCAAATGGCATAGTTTTTCTCCATTTTCACTACGACACTTAGAAAGCAAGTTTGAAAACCTCTTTTTCCTGTGAATTTCAATAAATTTCTGAATGTATTCAGTAGCTGAGTGGCATATGAAACGTATCTGCATTAAAATGGAACAAGTGAAAACTCAGTCTGCCTTAGGGTACTAGAAAAACAAATGGGTTTGACTCTACTACTTCTAAGACATGATCCTGAATGTCCTTCTATCATAGGATCTAGCAATTATAACACTTATATCAAAGATAAGCCATAAAAATTAATTACAAATTATGAGTAGAGAAATATCATCTGGTAGATATGTTTTCTCTTTTTGTCCTAGATGCCTATGTATATTATTTTCTTACAGAAATCTGACCAAATGACCCTCTTGCTATGTAAAAAATGACACAGGAGGGTTTAGGAAGAACAGGAATGGCAGGGGAATCATACCACTTAATTTATTTTTTCCTGCTTGTTCTTCTTCTTTCATCCTTTTCTTTTTAATTTCCAAGAGTTCTGCATCAAACTTGGCCTTCCAATTTAAGAAATTCTCAATTGTAACTGGAGTACCATGGAATAATTGCTTAGAAAATTAAAAAAAAAAAAGTCACCAGATTAATGAAACAGCAGTTTAACAAATAAATCCTAATAGTATCTTCTAAATAAATAAACATAACCCCTTATAAGAAAAACAGAAAAATTAATGTTTGAATTTTTGAAATATTTAAACTGATTTCTGCCTGCACTGGCTACTCTCACTGGTTTTGGCAATATACTTTGGAGTAGTCCTTTTTTTTTTTTACTTATTACAAAAAACAAAGATAATATGCAATGTATCCACTGTATTTACCACCATAGCTATTCACTGTTAAGAAGAAAAGTTGTTGCTGTCTGATATGGTTTGGCTGTGTCCCCACCCAAATCTCAACTTGAATTTATCTCCCAGAATTTCCATGTGTTGTACGAGGGACCCAGGGGGAGGTAACTGAATCATGGGGGCCTGTCTTTCCTGTGCTATTCTCATGATAGTGAATACATCTCATGAGATCTGATGGGTTTATCAGGGGTTTCTGCTTTTGCTTCTTCCTCATTTTTCTCTTGCCACCGCCAAGTAAGAAGTGCCTTTCACCTCCCACCATGATTCTGAGGCCTCCCCAGCCATGTGGAACTGTTAAGTCCAATTAAACTTCTTTTTGTTCCCAGTTTTGGGTATGTCTTTATCAGCAGCATGAAAACGAACTATTACACTGTCAATAATCACATGTTTTGAATACACATCAATTTCTAATACTAAATCATTGCTTTGTCACTTTATTTCAAAATATGAGGGTTTCTTTACATTTAGTAACTATTTAATTCACTGTAGTATAGGGGATTTATAATTCTAAACTCTATACCAAGCTTGTCCAACCCATAGCCAGAGAGCCACATGCAGCCCAGGACAGCTTTGAATGTGGCACAACACAAATTCGTAAACTGTCTTAAAACATGTTTTTTTCTGCAATTTTTTTTTTAGCTCATCAGCTATTGTTAGTGTATTTTATGAATGGCCCAAGACAATGCTTCTTCCAATGTATTGGAGGGAAGCCAAAATATTGGACACCACTGGCTCTATATCATAGGTGAAATCTTTATACTTCTTGGTCTTATCTGCAAGAGTTTTACTAACTTTTACTGATTATCATTCATTACTCACGCTATGCCACCAACCAAATGAAGGACTTCTACAATTTTACTCTTAGTAAAACTTTACTAAAATTTACTTTTATTTATTTTTGTGATTTCCAAAAAAAAAAAAAAAAAAATGCTGCTATTCATCAAAAAAACCCTCAAAACCCAACCAAGCAACCAAAAACCGATTTAAGAAATAATAAAAGAAAACAAGGCTTTTAAATATACCTTTTCAGCTTCTTCTGCTTCTTTTTCTTTTTGTTTCTTTTCTTCTTCTCTTCTAGTTTTTATCTGATCTACTATTTCATTCAATTTTTCTTGCACAGCTGTCACTAGAGTAAAAATCATCACCATACCAAGATTTTCTTCAGCCTATGTAACGCAAAAACGTGATGAGGAATAAACTCTCAGAAAAATAAAAGTCTATACATTTATAATGATTACTAATTTGGTTATACCCTATGTTCATACAGTTCAATAAAAGATCATTTAAGTGAGCATATATATAAATAATAATATCTTACTTAAAAAGTCATGTAAATGTGCCATATCCAACCTGAAACAGATACTGTATTTCAGCAAATTCTGTTTAATAATCATATAGGTAAAATTCAGAAAACTGTTTCCTCTAGTAACTAGCAACATCCTTTCTCCAGCATGTTTTCAGTATTTTAGATCTTTCTATTTTAAGAGCCGTGACAATTAACTGCATTTTGAGGCCAGAGTGATTTCTAAAATAATAGAATAATAAAGAATGTAAGAAATACTGTAGTTTATCTATATCAACCTTTTTTTCTTTAGATTTGAAATGGTTTAAAACCAAATATAAAAGCATCTCAAACTCATGAAAAGGATATAACTCAAAAGGCTATTAGGAAGTTGGTCATTTGAAGGCAGAAAAAAGTAACAAGATAGGGTTCCAATGAAGAAGACAAAAATAATTTCAAAATATACTAGCCAGAATGTCAGTGCTAGAAGCAGAGATTACTAAACATTTCTTTGACAGGGCTGGCCTCAGCAGTATCTGAATAGGTATTGCATCTCCTGGGCCCTCTAAGTACTAGGCTTCAAGCTAGCTCCTACAATGCAATTCACTGGGGCTTCTCTGTGGTGTTTCTATGCTAACCATCCTATATCTATGACTAAACAAACTTCTCCTGAGTGACAAACCCATATTAAAACTGACTATTTTGGGGCAGTGACTTGATGTCCCACCGTCATCTCAACACAAAACCATCATCTTCTCCTCAAAACTTATTCCTAGATGATCAATCTCCGCAAATCACACAACCACCCACCCAGCCTGAACATCCCCATCCCATCATAAGCTCCATCACTGCTACTGATCTATTCTTAAAAGTCATTTAAGTCTGTCCATCAACACTGTTATAAGCCTAGCCTGGAGTACCAACATTTTCAGCTTGGAATACAAGAAACTCCTAACTGGTCTTCTTAAAAGCTATGATCTTAAAACCTAACATCAACCTCCCCTGACCACTCAACACATACATACGTAAACACACACACACACACACACACACACACACACACACAGAGAGAGAGAGAGAGAGAGAGACAGAGAGAGAGAGTCACAGAGAGAACTAATCAATTTATAAACTGAAGCACCACAAAACTGATCTAGTCAGTCTCTTGCTTAAAACCCCTTCATAGCTTTGCAAACCAATCAGGACCAAGTCCATATTTTGTGAACAGTTTAGAAGACCCTTCAAAGAAGACAGTAGCCTCTTTAGTTACGCCACTTATCACCACTAACTTCAAATCCTAAGTTCAATAAATTTTGTGTGACTAGAAGTTCTAGGAGAAATAATCAATCACTTGCTCTCTCTCACCTCAATATCCTTTAACAAGTTTGTTCGTCTACCCTGAAATTCTTCTATTCTATTTCCTGGCCAACTCTTCCTACAGCTCTCAGCTACTCCTGGAAGCTTCTCCAGAACTTTGTGTATGTCAACCCATATAATCTTATATTTCATAAGATTCCATCATAGCATTTTTCATACAGAATGGTTTCCAATTTGCTAATCCACACTGCTCACTAGAGAAAAAAAAAATTCAATGAGACCAGGGATGGTGTCTTTCTTGTTCACTCAACCTAATGCTTGACACATTTCAATAACAAAACTTTCATATCCAATAAAAGTAGGATATCTTTTAGAAAAGTTAAGTATTCCAATAGAAAAGCAAAAAAATAATCATTCACATGGAAACTGGACAACTCAGAAGTCATACTAGTTCCACATCACTAGTATTTTTAAAATGCAAATTATAATTACATTCCATTTTCACCTTGTCATCATTTTATGTCCAAATGAAAATATCTGGTATTAGCACATGTGGGAAAACAGATACCACAATGACTACAGTGAGATCATAAATTGGCACAACCATTTTGAAGGCCAAGTTAGCAGTATGTATGAAATTATTAAGTATGCATTCCCTTTAATCCAGCAATCCTACTTCCAGGAAACACTGAACTAGTATACTCATCAGCAATTCTTTCTTTTCATTTATTCAACAAACATTTGAGTGTCTATTATGTGCCAGGCACTAGGAGTACAAAAGAGAACCTGCTCTAAGGACTTACAAGTAGTGATACATAAGAATGCTGAAAGAATTATATACTAATTCTTAATTATATGTTAATTATATATCAGGCAAAAATGAGAGACAACTGTAAATTGTTTTAGAAAAAGAGTAATTACATATACATACAATGAGATTCTATACAATAACCAAACATAATGACTCATATATGTTTAACTGAAATGAAAAGATGCTCACATATATTATGTGAAAAAGAGGATGTTATAAAACATTACGCATAAAATGATCTAACTTGGATGGGAGAGGGGGACTATGTATATAAGCATAAGGAAAAAAAGTCTCACACTAGATCACACCAAAATGTTAATAGACAATTAATTATACATGGTGGGTACAATTAATAATAATCTTTATTTTCTTCTTCTTCATGATTTTTTGTATCTTCTGAGTTTCTGTAATATGAATTTATTATTTTGATACCGGAAAATTATAACAATTATTTTCTGGAAAACAAAGGACAAATATTCCCTGAACACACCTGAGGCTCAGGAAGGTGTCAAAGAAATCAAAACAGCCTTTTTGAAAAGAGACAGTTTGAGTACAAACAAAATATTAAAAACATGGAAAAATTCACTTAGACTATATAATTTACATTAAGGTGTGACTGACTGAATATAGCATAACCATCCCAGGTTCTCTGCAATGTTTTAGAAGATGTTTGAAGAGCTGGGCAAGGTGATTTATGCCTGTAATCCCCGCACTTTGGTAGGCTGAGGCAAAAGGATCACTTGAGCCCAGAAGTTCAAGGCTGCATGAGCCATGATCATGTCACTGCCCTGCAGCCTGGGTGACAGAGCAAGACTCTGTCTCCAAAAAAATAAAAATATAAAAAAAAAGATGTTAAAATTAGCATAACTTTATGCTAGGTCACAAGGTGAATAGGGTCCAAGATCAGCAAAAATTCCTATCTGATATATCTTCCTTCACTCCTCATTGTACAACAGCTCCAGATATTTTTATAACATCAACATTTTGGTGACCACTGGTCTTTAGAATACGTTAGTCATGTCTAAGGTGGAGATATGTTTTCTGTCAATTCTTCTTAAACAAATAAAGGTAGAACTTCTGACTTTAAGATAGTGGTATAAGAATTTTACCCCCCTCCCTACTCACTACTCTGAAGAGCCCCATGAAAACTCTACCCAGGCATGAGTATATTTTAAATACCTGCCAAGCCCAGATTATGGGTAGCCTATCCCACAATAAAATTAATCCAGTAAAACGTTTTTTAATATCCATTTTTATTTCCACACAAGCCTCCCCTCATAAAGGGGTCATAAGCCATTACTATTGTTTGTAAGCTTCGGGAGGAGGAGAGATGGGAGAAAAAAATCAATCGCTAGTACTTCTCTCAGACTATAGGCAACTAGCATGTAACAAGTCAGAGAGGGAAAAAGTTTTAATTTTTTAAAAAAGTTGAAAATTGTAGCTACATATGGGACTAGGCATTCTAAAAACCAAATCAAAACACTGTTTACAACTTAAAGTACCCATTGGACTTTTTATCACTCATGACATGAGCGAAAAAGCCATGGGGCTGACTGAGTTTCAAGCAGGGGCACTGGGACAAACTCTATTACTCAAATTTTAAAGGGACAGTAGGAAACAAAAATAAAGATGCTCTGTGATTATGTATCATGAATTCTGCTTGGTCAATGTACTATTTACACAATAGCATTTTCTAACTCTTGAAATTAATATGTAATATTTAAGGCCAAAAAATGCTGCTACAAAACATAAAATTATTATTTCCTTACCTGTAATGCTAGTAATTTTAAAATGTCTGAGACATCATTATCTTCTAGGTTTTCCTGGGAGAATATTTCATAAAGGGGAGCTTCATCTGGGTATTTTTCACTGTATGTAAACTTGAGGGTAGTCTGGACAGCTAAGACATAAGATAAGAGTTTGATGTGAATACCTTAAAAATATACAGGTAGATATCGTTGTTGAATCAGTAAAAAGTAGCACAACAGATTTTCCTGTGAAGAAAAAGAGACCAGATGGATAATCACTAATGTAAACAACACATACCCCAAAGAGATAAATGAAACAAATCATGGGATTACCAAAAATCACACTTACACATGAAGCACATTTACCACTTACTGGTATTTTACCAGACTGCATGTCTGAGAAAGAGGATGAATAAACACCACTCATTAAAAACCTTTCCTAAGATAAACAAAAGGCACTGAATACAACACATTTTTAAAAACTACTACCGTATGCTGATTTTCAGCCTCTACCAGAGCCAGTTCCTACCTGCAGAAGATCTGGCTGTAGCCCTGGAATCTATATTTAAATCCACACAATGTCAGCAGGGCTAATTAGTGGCTGGATGGCACCGTTTTGACCTCGACAGTATAAAAGGTTGTATGGGAAACTTTTAACCTAATTCATCTAGATATTCTCACTCACTCTTTAAGACTGTGTCAGTTTACGGATCTCACACTTGTACGGAAGTAAAACTCCTATGGGCATGTCAGTGCAAGGTGCCTCTCTGCAGCGCAGGCCACTGAGTTCTCAATTCCACCAGGCAGTCTGCGACTAAGCAGTAGTACGAAACATTTTCTGTTAAGACTTTTTATTACAATGATCTTTTTCCCAGAGTGCCATCTTTTGTGTAACTCACATTTTATATGATTAAAACCTACTGATTTTGATGAAGCAATACAAATTTATACTGCTCTTCATGGATGGGGAAAAAAAGCACCTTAAAATTTGCAGGTTTGATATTTTATTTTTCATGTTATGATATTAACAAGGAATTTTATGAACCAAAAATTGCAAAAGATTATGTGTTAGACGTCAGTAAGAAACAGTATCTTCTAGCATTTTCCTTTCTTCTTTTATTAGCACATTTTTAGTTTTATTGCTGCAACAAGTTTTTTTTTTTCCATTTTATTTCTTCCCCAGCTTTCTTGAGGTATACTCAACAAATAAAAATTGCATATATTTAAGGTGTACAATGTGATGTTTTGATATACATATATATTGTGAAATGATTATCAGAACCAAGCTAATTAACATCACCTCACATGATTATGATTTGTGTGTGTGTGTATGTGGTGAGAACACTTAAGATCACCTCTTTTAGTAAACTTCAAGTATACAATACAGTATTATCTATAATTAATTATAGTCATATGTTGTACATTAGATCCCCAAACTTACTCATCTTGCATAACTGAACCTTTGTACCCTTTGGCCAACATCTCACCATTCCTATTACCTCCCAGACTTTAAACAATCAATGCATTAAAGAAGAAATTTAAAGGGAATTTTAAAAATATCTTGAGACAAAGGAAAATGGAACATGGCCAGGCGCTGGGGTTCATGCCTGTAATCTCAGTACTTTGGACAGTCAAAGTAGAAGGATGATTGCAAGTCAGAAGTTCAAGACCAGCCTGGGCAAGAGAGTGAGACCTCGTGCCTACAAAAAATTAAAAAATTGAGCTGGGAATGGTAGCATGTGCCTGTAGTTCTTGCTATTTGGGAGGCTGAAGGTAGAAGAACTGCTTGAGCTCAGCAGTTGGAGGCTGCAGTGAGCTAACAGAGCACCATGGCACTCTAGCCTGGGCAACAGAGTGGGACCCTTGTCTCTAAAAAATATTTAAAATTTTAAAAATTAAAAAAAAAAAGAAAATAGAAACACATCATACCAAAACTTATGGGTTGAAGCAAAAGCTGTTCTAAGAGGAAAGTTAATAGCAATAAATGCCTACATCAAATAAAAATAAAGTTCTGAAGAAACAATTTAACATGCCCCTCAAAGAACTAGAAAAAGAAAAAATGGCATGAAATCAGCACAAGGAAGAAAATAATAAAAATCAGAACAGAAATAAACGAAATGCATTAGAAAAACAATAGAAAAATTCTAACAAAACAGCTAGACTAGAAAAAAGGGAGAGGACTAAAATAAATAAAATCATACATGAAAGAAGATATTTTATAACTGATATCAGGGATGGGGAGATACTAGTTATAGGATAAAAGGTTTAAGACAAGATGAGTAACTTCAGGTCTACTGTAGTGCATTATTATTACAGCTAACAATAATGTACTGTATACTTAACAATTGCCAAGAGATTAGATATTAAACGTTCTCACCAAAAAATTAAAAAGTAAATTTAAAAAATAAAGTTTATCATTGTGACAAATTAGTTTCTTCCTCTTTTCTATCAACAGAATTTTATACTTGATTTGTTTCACGTGCATTATATCCTGAGAATATTCTTTAACACTTAGTGTACATAGTTAAAAATTAATTTTCACCATGCAGGTATATTAAAATGCATTTAACCATTTAAAAAACTAAGTTTTTTTTTTTTTTAAAGTAACATTTACTGATTCTAGTATAAGTAAAAGACATTCAGTAGAGAAAAGTTAGGAATAAAATAAGGGAAAAATAAAATCACAAATAATCCCATTATCAGGAAGAAATCGCTATGTCCATTTTGGTATATTTTAAGTATCTTAAAAATATTTCATAAAACTACATTTTTTTATCTGCATATATCTACATTTTAGACAAAATTTTATTTATAGATGGATGAAATTTTGCTTAAAATGTACATATTCATATATAAATATAAAATCTCAAAAATGAGAATACTTCCAAGTCTTTATGCAATACCATCATATTTCCACTTTATGTCGCTGTTTATTAGTTAAGAAAGAAACAATAATATTACAAACATACTTGTATGTATTACTTTGTATTATGATACTGTGCTTAGAATAGATACCCATAAATACAGTAGTCATTGTATCAAAGAATATGAACATTTTCAAAGTCTCCTGCTTCATGAGTCCAATAGTTCTCCTGAACATGTGTATTGATTCATATTCCAAAGAGCATAATGCTATCTGCCAATACTAATAATTTACTGGATATATTATTTCAGCTTGCATTTTTAATTACCTGTGAGATCGTTCTTTTAATGCTACCTTTAGAAATTGTACATCAATGCCCTTTGCCCACTTTCCTACTAGTTTGTTCACTAAAAAGGAGTTTTCGGGAAAAAAAAGTACAATGCAGGATTTAGTTTCAAAGAAATAATTTTGAAAGTATGGAGGATAATGCACTGAGTATACTTATTTCATAGAGCTATTACTAGCTCCTAATAAAGCTATTACTCAGAATATGGGAGCTCTCACAAGACATTTTTATATTTTAGTTTTTCATTTCAGCATAATCTTAAAGAAAATTTTATTTGGATTATTTACCCATGAGCATCACCGCACCATTCTGGAACCTACAGTGGCATCATATGAAGCCCAAATCATGCCACTGGCTTATTTACAAAGGAAAATTTTAAATGGTTTGAAGAGCAGTCAGTATAGTATTTATTTCATGCTTTACAGCATTATAGAACATTTTTTAGATACCAATCTGCAAAAGCATATTGGTTATCAATTTGGTAGTAAATAAATGTATTCAATATCCTTTTAATTCAGATTTCAATAACGTGTGAATGCAAACCTCATTTTCAAGTACACTAAACAGATTTGGAGTTATCAAGCAATACCATAGAAGTTGGCTATTAACGACTGTTCCTGGCAGAATTTAGGTTTCTAGCTTCAAAGGGGGGAAAAATGTGTAGGGTTGTTAGTTTCAATTTACATAACCTTTTTATCAAATTATCAACTAACGTGACTAAAAATAGAAATAAACTTCAGATACCATTGCCCCAAACAACTCCAAATTTAATTTATTTAATTTTAATTTATTGGTTTTTATAGTTATATTATTTCAAAAGAAAGAAACAGAAACTTGCAGATAGGTGTATATCTAGCCCCATTTATAAGAGCAAATGTCCAGTGAACAATCTAAATGTTCAGAGAAGAACAGCCATGAAAAAAATAAGTCACTCAAAGGAACCACACAACCACTGAAATATGTTTGCACGCAAAGTATTGCTTTGAACAAAACAAAAGTCTCCTACCTTTTCTCCATCTGCTGTATTATTAATATTACTATTTCACTTTTAAAAACTAAGCTTATTGTGCCAGACTATATTTCATTAATTTCCTATTTCCCTAGAAATCATGTTCACACAGTAAATTCTGACTAGAAACATACAACATTCATAGTAGATTCGTAACAGCCCCTTAGCACCTCCACACTGGCAATATCCAGCATAATGCCTACAGAATGAGTGAAATTCCTGAGAAGCTTAGAAAAACCACAAGTATTTTTTATGAGACTTACTTTCATCATTTTCTCCAGCCTCAGATGTCACAGTAATGGTGAAGCTGGGTGGATTTTCTGATAATACTGCAAGAAAATACACACAGAAGTTATTGAAATGCCTTCTAAGGCAGATGCTTTTCCTTATTAGCAAATTATCAGTCCTGGAAACTGGTCCCTATGCTATATTTCCATTTCCACAAATACAGACTAAACAGAACACTGAAATGATAAAATTACCGTCAACTTTCTATTTAAATGCAGGGTTGTCTTTAATCTGGAAAGAAATAACTATTTTATAGTTATATTATTTTAATATAA